TTTTTTTTTTGAAAGTGAAACCTGGGTTTTGGCTTTGCTCCTTTAATAGCGAATGTGGCTATTACAGAGTTGAATTACATTCCGCTCGTGATGAGCTAGAACATGCTCGTTTGACGATTAACAGATTGGAATCAGAGATAGGAGCTTACAAGAGGACTGCTTTCAGTGAGCAGCAAATGGTGACTTTCTCGTCTTTCTCTACTTTGAATGTTTATAATGATAACTCCGATTTAGATGGTTTCACTGAATGAATTAACCAATCGATTATCTCGAGTAGAAGCTGAAAAGACGACAGTCATGGAGTCCCAGCTTGAGGTATGCTTGGCGAATGTTTACTACGGAGTGAAAAGGTTGCGATTATGCTCATCTTTAGGTCCTCCGTCTTGAACGGGATAGTTTGAAGACTTCTAATGCTCGCCTTACTGACCAACTTTCACATGCAAGAAATGAAGCGAAACAAATGCAGGTAAGCAGTCCAGCAGTCATTCCTTTGGGCGACTTTTTGACCGTAGCGAATTTAGACTCGTTTCGAGCAAGAACTCAAACTTTTACGAGAGCAGCTTTCCGAAAAAGAAAAGGAGCTGACTTCTTGTGAGCGTCAGCTGATTGATCTGCGAACACGGTTGAGCAATATGCAGGCGCAATATACTGCTCACGAAAGCACAATAGGTTGGTTCGAAGTCATTCTAATGACGTTTTGAAAGTTCTGGAATTAGCAACTTATATTGGCAAGCCTACAGTTATTAACAGTGGTCATTACAGGTATGACACCCGAACGTCTGCAGAAGGAATGCCAACAACTCAAGAATCGAACCCAATACCTCGAATGCCAGCTGGATGAGATGAAGGCGAAACTGGCTGAAGCCGAGAGTGTTGCCATGAAGAAGAGCGATGAAAATGAGAGGTTTGTTAAGTTTCTGTGAAATCAAGGGTTATTTGAAAGTATGTAAATTGTTTCAGAATGGAGTCTCACAGTAATGTGCTTGAATCAAATATCAAACAAATGGCAGAGCTTGGCTCTATGGAACGTGATCGACTTGAGACAAGAGCGAGCAGCGCGGAAGCGTAAGTAGTAGAAGAAACACTTTATCTTTATCCCAATTCTTCTTTTGCTCTTCAGTCGATCCGAAGAGCTTACAGCAAGAGTAGCCCAGTTGTCAACAACCATAGACCAACTGGAGGCAGAAATAAGTGATATGAAGATGCAGCATCTGGAGGTACGTCAGGTTAACAGGGTAACCATAGCTCAACATTCTTTTCCAGCGTTCAACTGAACTTCAACTGAGAATTGATATTCTCGAAGCTCAAAAGAGGGACGCTGATGAGTCCATTAAGCATCTCAACGAGTCGCTGAATTCCTCACAGATTGAAATGGAGAGAAAATTGAACGAGCGCAACCAGGTATGTGGAACACGGATCTGACTCATGATTATCATCTGATTCTTTCTGGCTTTTTAGCTGACGGATCAAGTAGCCGAACTCAAAGCTCAGCTGTCCGAGAAAGAAGGAGAGCTCATGTTGAAAGACGCTAAGTTGGAATCTAAGCAAAAGGAGCTTATGGGCGCTTCTGAAGCTTCCAGAGTTGTAAGTAGTTCTAACTTAATGTCATCCGTGAATTATGCGCACGAATACCATAGTTGGAAGGGAATGGAGTATTGTTGGTCAGTTTTGACGCTTTTAAGAAAAATCCATGATGCCTTCAATCTTGTAGATGTCTTTGTTACATCTTTTTCGCAATTTGTCAACTCTCTATCTTCGCTGAATAACCAGAGTTTCTATGCGAATAAGCAGAATTTTTATGCAAATAATAATCAGAATTTCTATGCAAATAAATATCCTTGTTGGGTATAACAGCCCAATTCGGAAATTTTGTGGAGATTGAACCTAAGCGTGCATAACACTGAGTACTTGTTCACCTTTCATTGATCTTCAAGCTCTTGATATCTTGAGAATTTTGCGAGTTGATAAAATTTATGTGCTGTTTATAGGCGGAGGAGAGTCTTCAACATGCTGAACAGTTGTTATCTGCTCGTTCGAGTGAAGTGACTGCTATTGAAACCCGCTTGAATGAGGTTGTGAAGCAGTATGAGGAGAAAATGGAGCAGATTTTGGAGAAATACGAGAATGTTCGTTCTTTTTATTTTGTCCATCAAATGTCTATGTATAACTCATCATTTTAGGTGGTAGCGCAAGTGAGTGAAAGCGCAACCGAAGGAAAACCTGCAGATCCAATGAGTAATCCTGATTCTGCAGGATCTGTTATAGAATCGCTTCAGAGTGTTGTGAGATTCTTGCGCGAAGAAAAGCAAACAGTGAGTTGTAACTTTTCACCCCTTGGTTTTTTTAAACCGTATTTGCACTGTAGGCCGTATCGCGTTCGATGACTGCCGAGGTCGAAGTGAGGCGTTTACGCGCGGAAGTTGACGAAATCCGGTCCAATCGTGATGA